TTTTTTTGTTTTGCTGCAGTATACCTTCAGTGACTTGATCTTCATTACAATTACATCTCTTTCAGGGCACTCAGCAAGGTATTTCACTGCTCCCAGATAATATGCCAAAAAATATGGCTTTTCCTACATCTACTTAAAACTAAGCCTTTGAACAGATACAGTCTTTTCTACTTTGCAGCTCTTTCACACCCTGTCTTCAGTGTCCTCCATTTCTGAATCTATTCTTTCCCTTTTTTTACTTCTTTTTTAAAACTTTGTCTCTTTGTCCCAGGAGCTGATGAGAAAGTGTTCGGGGTTTTTTTCTTTCTGTCTCTGTTTTTCTTGTCTCTACAAAGAACCACATGTACAAAATGGAGTCAAGATGTACTGTGACTGTGTACTTCTACGAGAGCATGTCACCTGAACCTCTACATTTAAGCTGCCCTTGCAGGATATAAAAGCAAGCAAGCAAACAAACACACAAAACAAAACCAAAACAAAACCCCAAAGAATTGTTATGTAATATTCCAGTCTGATCTTATCTTAAAAATGCCAAAAAATAGACTATCAATGTCTGCCAGAAATCTAATTGAATACTATATTACATTTCCTATGAGAAAGACCTTTCCAAACTAAAAAGCACCTTCTTGTGACAATCTTAACTTCTTTGCAATTTAGGCACATAAATTTTGCCTTACCAACCAAAATCACAGAGAACAGGTAATGCAGAGATTAGAAGTTCATCATTTTACCCACAACAAACTTAGGATGGTACCTAACACATTTCAGATCACAGTTTGCACAGTAAAAGTAAGTTTCGACTATTAAATCAGGTAAACCCAAAGGCTCAGGTCCTTTTCCACCAGGCAGCTTTCTGACACTCTGCTCCAAGCCTGTAGCACTGCCTGGGCTTGTTGTGACCCAAGGGCAGGACCATGTGATGGCACTAAGGATGGTCTGCTGCAAACCTTCCCTGGTACAGAGGTCAGGCTGAAAGGCCTGGAGTTCCCCAGATCCTCCTTCCAGCCCTTCTTGTAGACGGGTGTCACATTATCCAACCTCCTGTCACCTCCCTGGGGAGCCACGCAAATGAGGTGCTGCTAAATGATTGAGAGTGGCTAGGCAAGCTTTTTCTTCTGCTTCCTCAATACCCTTGGGTGGGTCCCATCTCATCCTGTAACTTGTATGTGTTTAAGTGCAGCTGCAGTGAACAAGTGGAGGAGAGAACCCAGAAAAAAGGGATGGAGGGAGGGAAGAAGACAGGGATGGAAGTGCCCACACTCTTGAAGGTAAAGTGAAATGGTGGGAACCAGAATTGCTCTAATATTATTTACTCTTCCGCTTTTCTGTCAAAGAGAAATCAAGTCAACAAACTTTATGGCATTCTAGGTTCATGTGCCAAATTCAATCTAATGTACCTCCTGTCATTGTAATTTCAAATCATTACTTCTTGAGATGCTGTTTAATCACTATACACAATCATACCCTTTTTTTTCCAAATATTTGTAGATTCTTCTGATAACCTAATCTCTGGTATATTTTTTCTGCCAAGCTATATACACTAAATTTTCTTAACTATCCCTCAAGGTGATTCAAATAATATTTACATTTTCTTTCTGTCTGTTGCCCTTCTTTGGATGTCCTTAGACACAACACACTCCCTCCTCCCCCCTCTTCCCCCACAACCCGGAGGAATGGGGGGGGAGGAAAAAAAAATAAAATCAAATATGTAGGTTGAGATAAGAACAGTTTAATAATAATAAAGAGCAGAATGAGCTAAAATGCTAATGGATGATAAAAAGAACAAAATCAGTGATGCACAATACAATTGCTCACCACACGTGGACAGACACAACCCTGAACCTCCCCCCGATCGGCCCCTTCCTGCTTATATACTGGGCATGACGTGCCATGGGGTGGAATATCCCTTTGGCTAGTTCAGGTCACCTGTCCCGGCTATGATCCCTCCCAGTTTCTTGTGTATTTTCTCACTGGCAGAGCATAAGACACAAGAAAGAAAATGTCCTCGATTTAGGATAAACACAACTTAGCAGAAACCAAACCATCAGTGTACTATCAACAGTATTATCACTCTGAATCCAAACACTGCACTACACTAGCTACTGAGAAAATCCTGGCTGAAACCAGCACACTCCATTGAAAAAATCACTGAACTACACAGGCATGAGTTAAAGACTTTCATAAACTATATGCTAAGGAATCATATTATTAAGGCTTTATACATATTCATTCATTATGCTTAAATTATTCTGAAATAATACAACAGAAATTTCACTAAAAAATTAAGGGATACAGTATACCATTTCCAGAAAAGGACCACCACAGTTGTGGAAAATTTGTTTCTAATTGGCATTCAGTTCTCCAAGGCAAGTACTTATACGTGAAAAACACATCATGAAACAGTCTGTGGATCTTTAACATTACCTGGAAATTTTCAGGACTACCGTAGCACAACCACAGATTCAACTTAAAGTACTGCATCCTCTTCAATCTGACTCAACTTAGAATCTTGCTTACAAACCAGCAGAGGGAAGATATGTTTCCTAAGCTATTCCTTTGACTGATTTTGACACCTTGAGTGAATCAGTCATCTATTCTGCTATCAGTATTATTTATCTTTATAAACATGGCTAGGTCACCATCACAGTGAGACTGACTAAAAAAATATGTCCAACCTGTTAGTTTTATATATGACAGTTGGAGATCCAAGATAAAACCAGTAAAAATAGATGGGTACACATCTCCATGACCACATGAGAGCAAGAAAATAAATGAGCCAAACAGCACAGAAAATTATACCTTAAATGGAACAGCCATTCAGCAAGAGGCCATTACCACAATTTCCTAAAAATGGAGCTGTGCAGGACTTCTTGACAATCTGATCCACAAATCATTTGCAGTTCTGCAGATGCATGAACATTACAATGTAGATGTAGAATAACATTCCACTGCCACTCCTAACAAATGTATACTTGCTACGGATGGCAGTGAAATCACATGCGTATGAGCAATTATTGCGTATTAAGGTCATAGACCCACTGGAACAGGTCCAGAGGAAGGCCTCAGAAACAATCAGAAGGCTGAAGCACCTCTGCTATGAAGAAAGTCTGAGACAGTTTGAGTTGTTCAGCCTGGAGAAGAGAAAGCTTTGGGCTTATTGTGGCCTTTCAATACTAAAAGGGGGCTTATAAGAAAGAAGGGGACAAACATTTTAGCTGGGGTAATGGTTTTAAATTTAGATAGGTATAAGGAAAGGTTTTTTACACTAAGGATGATGAAACAGTAGAACAAGTTGCCCAGAAAGGTGGTAGACACCCCATCACTGGAAACATTCATGGTCAGGTTGTAGAGGGCTCTGAACAATCTGGTCCCATGGCAGGGGAGACTAGATGACCTTTAAAGGTCCCTTTCAACACAAACAATTCTATGATTCTGTGATTCTGTGTTCTCAGAGAAAGGGAATGTCTGTGCATCTCTGTGTGTCTGCTGTCAGCCCGTATGTAAAAATCAGGATAGGAATGGATTTCATTATAAAGCATCACCTTCGAACATATCCAATCTCTGATTCATTATTACTTTGCAAATCCTTTAAACAAGCAATTTTGTCATTTGTATTTGCATTAAATAATAATTTCTTAAGCATATTATTTTATACTTATCTAAATTAAATCTTAGACCATTTTAAATTGCTCATCTCCTTAAAAAATCTCCATAACATCCTAGAATTACAAGAGAGTTTTCTCTCTTCCAGTAACTGTATAAAGCAAGACATCTCCATATAATTCGCAAGCTTTAGGACACCAACATTCATTTCATCTTACAGCTTTTTAGTGGAGATGAGGCAGGTTTTTTATAACAATACAGATCGTATCCACTAATTCTGAACTAAATGCTTCCTCTTGCTTACAGCGAAACAATTTTGCAACCAGAAATCCTAATCTGGTTTATTTCTCATTTCTCTGTTTCAATCACTTCTACAAACTGCAGCAGAAGCCTGAAGTCAGTGTGAATTAAGCACGCTTCCTTTGGTACATAGATCCAAAAGATGGATCACCTTTTTTGGAATGGTATGTCGCTACTCAGGCATAGCTGCATATTAATTATTGTTGCATGGATAGATACTACACAAAACCCAAGCCTGTTCACACTCATTTATATTTTTAAATGAATGCATTCGGTTGTCTTTGAATATTTCTTACAGTCTGCCAAAATTCAATGTCACATTGACAGTAACACTTATAAAAAGCAGTTTTCACACTTCC